TTTAAAAACGTTTACAATTTTCTAAAATTATAACACATTTAATTTGGTTTAATGTGAGTTTTGTGCTTTATATTCCATTAGCAATAAATCCTTGTGACAGTCATCCTTGTCATAATGGTGGAACTTGTTTACCTACAACTAGAGGGAGGTTTAGATGTGACTGTCCTAGAGGTTTCAAGGGTAAAACATGTGATAAAGGTTTGTAATTATTATAATCATTGGAAATAACAAATAATTTTCTTCAAATCCCACTAGGAACTGTGTTTTTAATGATTTTGCAAAGAACTCAAGAACAATGGCTTTTTAAAAGCGTTTACAATTTTCTAAAACTATAAGAGATATACCTTCGTCTTAATGAGAGTTTTGTTCTTTATCTTCCATTAGAAATAAATCCTTGTGACAGTCATCCTTGTCATAATGGTGGAACTTGTTGTCCTACAACTGGAGGGAAGTTTAGCTGTGACTGTCCTAGAGGTTTCAAGGGTAAAACATGTGATATAGGTTTGTTATAATTATTATCATTGGAAATAACAAAAAACTTTCTTGAAATTCTACTAACGACTGTTTTCTAATAAGTTTGCAAGTACTCGAGAAAAATGGCTTTTTAAAAACCTTTACAATTTTCTAAAATTATAAGAGATTTAATTTGGTTTTAATGTGACTTTTGTGCTTTATATTCCATTAGAAATAAATCCTTGTGACAGTCATCCTTGTCATAATGGTGGAACTTGTTGTCCTACAACTGGAGGGAAGTTTAGCTGTGACTGTCCTAGAGGTTTCAAGGGTAAAACATGTGATATAGGTTTGTAATTATTATTATCTTTGGAAATCAAATAATTTTTCTTCAAATTCCACTAAGGACTGTGTTTTCTAACGAGTTTGCAAAGAACTCTAGAACGATGGCTTTTTAATATCGTTTACAAATTTCTAGAATTATAAGAGATTTAATTTGGTTTGAATGTGATTTTTTGCTTTATCTTCCATTAGCAATAAATCCTTGTGACAGTCATCCTTGTCATAATGGTGGTACTTGTTGTCCTACAACTGGAGGGAAGTTTAGTTGTGACTGTCCTATAGGTTTCAAGGGTAAAACATGTGATATAGGTTTGTAATAATTATTATAATTGGTAATGACGAATAATTGTCTTGAAATTCCACTAGGGACTGTGTTTTCTAATGAGTTTTCAAAGAATTCGAAAACGATGGCTTTGTAATAATGTTAACAATTTTATAAAATTATAAGAGACTTGCGTTAGTATTAATGTGACAGTTATCCTTGTCTCAATGGTGAAACTTCTTGTCCTACCACGTTTCAGTGTGACTGTCCTAAAGGATTTGTGGGTGATAATTGTGAAAAATGTTTATCTTTATATCATTATCGATATATCAAGAGATGTCTTTCAGGGTATGATTAAGCCATTAAGGCATCGTTTTATTCAATATTAAGTACTAAAACTAGCACAATTGTAAGAATAATTTGAATATTTTGTTTTCAGGATATCACCATCCATATTCACGTTTTAGTAGAATATTGAGGTCATTGACACGCCGTCGTTTTGTTCGTTTCGGACGTAGACAACGAAGGTTCAGAAGAGTTATCACTATCAGGAGAATCCGTCTTTACGGTTATCGTCAACGCAGGTTCAGAATCCGAGTCACGCGATTATTTAGAAGATCTGGTTAATGATATCCTATTATTCTTCGCAAAATATTCAAGAGATAGTCAAATTATATTTTTTTTCTTGTCCTATCTTATTTTATCAAATTTAAATATCAAAGAGGAAAATTTTATTCCGCATAGTGGTTTCTAACTTATAAAACCTGATAATCATTACACATTTTATTACATAGGATTTTACTTCTTTTCTACGTTTAATATTAGACAGCAGTATAAAAAGTGGAGGGCAGGGCCTTTTCACAATCTTTTAATTAAAAATAATAGATGGCAAGAAATACAATAATGATTGAAAACCTCTTGCATTTACGATAGAAATGGACGGCATGTCATTAAATTTTATTTTTCTTCGCTTTTTTATCTTTTAACCTATTATCTGTTGAATTCTCAATGTAAAAGTTTCTGACCACTCTGCTCTATGACCACTACAATGTGTGATAAACTACGCAGAGAGGCAGATGATTTACAAATACAAACCTTTCTTAATAAGACATTTTTTCACAATTTCGATACAGTATACAACAACTGTCTAGAATAACAAACTATTTTCACTGTTACAATAGTGCTCGCTGAAAAAGGTCACTTGCTGAATATCGTGCAGCTCTGAGTAACAATATGTTTCAAGTTTTGTTATTTATTATTATTATTATTTACATTTAATTCTTATTGTGCATTTAATGGATCAATTGTCTCTTTTGGTGTCGGTAATTAAATATATGCAATTGATTTGAGTAGTTTTATTTCTTGATCAATAAAAAAAATGAAATATCCCAGTTCCAGATCGGACGGCTCAACGGGGGGAGGGGGCTACTCTCAAGGCTGATTGAAATTGGAGGAGTCATCAAAAAAAAAACGAACAAAATTCGAATGTAAAATTTGGATGCAATTTATTTTCCCCTTATGCCCTCACTGGTTCCGCTACTGGCAGGTGTTTTATCATTAAACTACAGCCAAGTGAAAAATGACGCATCTTTGGTAGATACTTAAGGATGAGGCTAGCAGCTGAAATTTTCTAATTTTCTGAAAACGAAATCGGAAATAGAAGGATCCATGTATTTTATCAGCATTTTCTCGACCTGTACCAATCCATGGAATTTTATGTATTTAGGTTTGTGGACTGTTCATCATGCGAAAGTATATGTATATGATTTTTACATGAAAATAACACATACATTGTTGCGAATGATACCTTATTCTCAGAAACGGGTTATTTAAGATAGGATAATGTGTTCACAGCTCACCGTCGGAATTTTAGCCCTCAAATCCATGTGTGTATGGAATTATCCGCTTTTGAAAGCTAAATATACTCTGTAGTATATAAAAATTATCCGCTTTTGAAGACTAAAAATGATGACTCGTCTTTATTTTTGATACTTTGTCGTATATAGAAATTACATCATATATAGAGATGAACGTGAAATTTCTAGTTTGGAAGTATATTTGACAGGACTATGTTTCTTTCGTGGAGTTCTAGTAGTTGTGAGGACTATGTATATATTACTTACAAGACCCAAATCTGACGAAAATATAGCTTTTACAGGAATACTACCTCTTAAAGTTCGGTTCATTATTTTCATTTATTATATATATTCCATTATTGGACGGATAATTCTTATATAAATCGAAAGCAGGGGTGTTTTAATGATTTGGAAAAATTTGTCTCAAAAGTCAATATTCGATTATCAGGTTTCACAATTTCATTAAGGGAGCTAACTCTTTGTGTGCCAAATTTTTTAATTTCAAAGGTTGTTTCTAAAACAGGGAAAAAGACGATGTTTTCTTTATTTTCTTAATACACAGTGTATTTAATTACATTATTTCTAACTTACAAATATGTCCTTTAAACATGGTTTGGCTAATAATTTTTTATACGAAAATGTGGCTAGATTATCGCAATTCTACATTAGACGAACCACAGAGGAACAAAATATCATGAATCAGAAAAACAATTGGAAAAATAAAAACAATGGGAACAAGTCGGCGATATGGATTGTTTATTTTTCCCCACTGA